GCAGGAATTCCCTACCATTTGGGTTTGTTTATTATTTTTTTTTCCTCAAAAAATCCACATAGTGCTCCCAGCGAAGCCAACATGGCACTTACTTGATGCTTCCGTCGCTATTATCTGTAGAGGATTTAGTGAGGGGAGCCAAGATATTGCCGGGGATCCATCCTTCAGCAGCCGGAGAGTGGTCGTTTGCAGGCTGGTACACGAGGAACATGTTCTGCTGGTTGATAGCAAGGATCTGTACCACCTCTCCTTGATTCACACAGATCTCATCCTCCTTCAGTGCATAGTAATCTTTAATCACCACCATGGAAGAGGTCCCATTGCACCCACCTAAATCAGTCTGTGAAAACAGACACAACAGAAACCGGTGAGCAGGCGGCACTGAGGAACCTGTGTTTTCCAGCAGCAATCCCACCACTTCATTTCCAGCCTAATTGTACCAGGGAAAAAGATACAAATCACTTAAAGTTCACATTGGTAGAAAAGGATTTTAAGGATCTGAAAGGTGGCAGTAATCTGGTACAAACCAGCCTCCTATTTAGTATTAGATTTCACAGCTGCTAGCAAGGGTGCCCCAGCCATGTACTCATTTGCATGTCAAGCCAAATGGGGGGAAAGACCAACGGAGGCTCAACGTTAGAAGCCAAATAAATACTCGCACATCTCATGATCTTAAATATAGGTCATATTGGAAAGTAGCTTTGGTCAACCACAGCCAGCAGCAGGATCCAAACACTGCTGGTGGTTACTGACTCTTTGGTGGCTTGTGTGCAGTGCACATGCACCCAAATTATAACCTTCAACTGGCACCCTGTGAGCTGTTACATGGGAAAACTCTTCCATACCATCAGAGTAGATCTATTCAGGAATGGGTGGTTAATGGATATTAGAGAAGCCTGAAGATTGCTGTCGCCAGTACTGCAAATGGATATTCAGTTCATCAGGTCTGCAAACACAGTGCTCAGAAAACCACTGGGTTCAACGCTCCAGGCTCGAGCTCCATCTCCATTTCCCAGCTGAAGTGCCACCCATCTGGATGCCAGAGCTTTCACAGTCTCTGCTTAAACCCAAATCACATTTTACACCATTGCTTCAGTATGTTGATTCCTGTTGACCTGGTTAGCTGATAATTAAAGCTAACCTCACAGATTGTCTATGGTATAAAAAATGGGCTATGAGATCATGTTTAATCAGATGAGCTCAGTACCTTGCTTTGTTCATACTTGTCTCCGGGCTGTGAGTGTTCATACCCTGTGCTGCCGTTGGAGGTAGATATCTTCAGGGGTGGGAGAGATGGGTTACGACTTGTAGCCTTCAAAGGCTTCTCAGACCCTACTGGAACAGAAGAATAGGGTCTGCTGTTGGGCTGAGGGACCCTACTGGTCTGGGGCCTCAGCACTGCTGAGCTACTCTCTTTGCGTTGGTACTCTATGGGAGACTGCAGCGCTGCAAAAGAGGACAAGAATTAGATATATGCTTTCAATGATGTTGCAAAGGGATGCAGAGAGTGTGTGAGGTGATTCAACTGGAACAGACACAGAAGTTGCAAACCAAACAGGAACAGGAGATGCCACCCATGGAAACACATGGCACATTCATGGCTAGACAGGACGCAAGCATGTTATGTTGTACTGCGCATGAACTGAACACAGCACACCATGTTGCTGCAAAGAATAGCTTCTCTAACCAACACAGTGGACTAAAATATTTGCCATTTATAGCATACATAACTGCATTCATTTTCTTCAAAATCACAGAAATTAATTGCATCCTGTAGTCAAAATAAATGAAAGCCTAATGAGAGATGCACAGCTCATTTACAGTGAATTTTATTATCATCAGAAAACACAGGTCAAGACCCGTAAGTCTCATTTATGTATTCCCAAGAGAGTGTGACTACTGAACACTATTTAGACATGATGCACTGCAACTTGGCTCTCTATGTGCTTTATATATTAACTACTGTGGTTCAAGGAACTGCTGGAAATGACCAGCAAGTGAGGAAGTATAGATGGAACAAAGACATTAATCCCAGCAGTCCAGACCTCTCCAGAAAACACCCATAAGCAACATTAAACAGTTTCATAAGCCTTAAAAGAGTCTGCTTGTGAAAGTGTACATTTCATAGTCATGGAGAGAGCTTACACAGGGAAAAGTGTAAGAAGGATAAAAATGCCAGATGGCAAAGAAATAAAGGGTTTGTTATGTTTGGGGGAGAAGGGATCAGGGCTGGGACTCACAGCGAATGGGAAAGAACAGATTTGCTAGGCTCAGACTACCATCCCCAGACCTATGGGTTTCTTTTTTTGCATGTCATGTGTACACAGTTAATACTGTGTACATGCACCAGACTAAACCTACTGGAATGCAGAGAGACTAGTCTAGCAAGAGGCAGACGGAAGACATAATGTCACAGCATCAGCCCAACCAGGGAATCACAACAGAAGGAATGTCTTTCCCAACAAGAGGAAAAGAAGAAACAGAAAGGCTCAGCACCACACAGCATACTCTCTAGCATTCCCGTTCCAGAGAAAGGCAGGACTACTGCAACAAGAAATCTCTTAATACTAAAGAACAAGAGACTAAAAAAAAAAAAATCAAGGAGGATGCCAGGTTACCATTTTCTTCAAAAGGACAAACATAGACCTGTAGCAATCTGGAAGACTACTTGGCTCCAAAACCTGCTCAGTGACCTTTGTCACAGAAGTGCTTTGTATTTATGCCACAGTGACTACCAGTTTCACTTGCTTACCTCAACTGCAGCTGAAAACGGTTTGGTCCTGCTGCAGAAGGCCACAGAGGAGAAGGAAGGTTGGGGAGAACTTTGACAATGATTTCGACAGCGACGGTGACATTTTTCTAGTGTATACAGTAGATTAGGCTGCAAGGACTTTAGCAGTAAGATCTGAATGAATACTTATCAACCTGTCTCAAAACAATCTATCCTACTCAGTGCTTTTAAAGTGTATTTTGTTGAGTGTCCACTTGTGACTACTAATTCCACCGTTAACTATCACAGCGATGTCTGGCTTCCAGCCTCCTGTTCAACATCTGTTAGTATTCTTACAAGCTTCTGGCCAAAATCAGCGTTCACTAACTTGCATGCTCTCTCTTTCTGTCTCACCGCCCCCCGCCCCAACATAATTAAAAAAAAGGTACAGATTAATGGCATTTTCCTTATGAAATATATCCATCAGTGACATACTTTCTTTACAGCTTGCTTCTTAAAACAAAATGAAAGAACAGTCACTATAGCCAATCATTTAGTGCACAGTTTGTTTCTCAAGCTTAGCAGCTTTTGCTTTTCCAAGGAAAAATATGAAAAGCATGAATATTACAGTGTAATTGCACCAAGTTTTACATTTATGAACTGTGGATACAAATACTATGCTTTATACGTAGCCCCGTACTCTTCAGGACTTCCCTGTTGACGAGAGAAAATGAGAGACAGCTTGGGCAACAACTCACAGGGAATATTTTGTTATTCAGTTTACGCAGCATTGGCTCAGTGTGGATTTAATATGATTTTAAAGACAGAAAACATCCGCTTTAATGAAATGCAAAGCTAAAGAACATGTTTAAAGATTAGTCAGCCTCAATAAGATTACATCCTAAAAGCCACTTAAATTGTTCTGGACTGGACAGACTCTACTGGATACAATATAATTTTCTTGGATCTTATTTATAGGTTTAAAGTAAATGCTTAAGCCTGTGTTTTAATACAAATTTATTTTTACTTCTAGCTTTAGAGATACTGATGATTAAATTCCTAACCCATCAAATTCCTTGCTGGCCTCACAGAAGATAAGGCTAAAGAGAGGCTATGAAGATGCTTCAGTAGAAAAAGGGGCTCACAGGGCAGTAGGTACTGGGAGAGTAAGAGTGAATATATAAAAAATAAAACAATGAGTAAGAAAGATGTGGAAGGGAGAGAAAACCCATGCAGTACTGTCTGTGGAGTTCTCACAAGGTTTAAAACAAATTTCTGTAGCTAACCATTAGTGGAACTTATTTTTATTCCAATAAACCCTCATCCAAAGCTAACTGCACTGACACAAAACCAGCAAGTTCTGGTACCAACTGGTCAAACCGGAGAATTTAGACTGCTCATCTCACCAATGCATTTAAAGAATCATTTTACAGTGTTTGTATGAGGCTCTTTCTATTCCAAGATATGAAAACCCAATATCAAGTTTTGGAATCATGGATGAAACACTATTTCCCTTCTCAGCTCAGCCATAGTTTTCAAACTGTCACAAACAGCTTTTGCATGTAACCCTTTCCCAGCCAACTTCTGAAAAGTAAAACAAAATTAAATTAAAATTTTTAAAACCTCTATCCTGAAGAAAAGGGAACCTTTGTTTTGATGTGAACTGAAAGATCTTCAGATTTTCACAGAATCGTTAAGGTTGGAAAAGACCTTGAAGATCATCAAGTCCAACCATCAACCCAACACCACCAAGCCCACTAAACCATGTCCTGAACTGCCACATTCACAGGTTTTTTGAATACTTCCAGTGATGGTGACTCCACCACCTCCCTGGGCAGCTTGTCACAATGTTTGACCATTCCCTCAGTAATTTTTCTTAATATCTAGTCTAAACCTCCC